CTGCCGGGGGGGGGGCACTCCTCACCAACAAGGGTACCTGCACAATGAACATTTGTATGCCTAACCCTGAATTGCACCCCACATCTTTAAAATTACAAAAAAGAAAAAATATACAGTCATGGTAATAGAGGACTCCTAATACCCTAATGCAACTTAAAAAAAAATTACCAAGACATCTTGTTTCTTGCCTTAAAACAATTCTATATCACCTGATGTCCTATTTGTTATTTGTGTATAATTACTCTTATTGCATTTTCACAGAAAATCCAATATAATAAGTTTGCTTTTAAAATATTCAGAAACGACTTTCCTATGTAGAGCCTGATTACATGAGATCAGGAAGAGAAAAGGTGGTAACCTGTCATGATACAGCCCTACTACATCAGGCCAGGGAGAGTTAAGATGGGGAGATAATGGAGGGATACTGAGCAATCAACCCCAACAGGCATAGCTGCTTTGATTGCACTTTTTCTTCCCTTTAGCATATAGGTGCTTGAGCTCTGTAATGTCATTTTCTATTTTCCAAGGATCACAGTGCTGCCTTAAGCTTTTAAAAAACATTTGTCTTTTCTTTCACAGCAACTTCCAACTTGGAAGTGAGGGAGAGACAAGGAGAAAATTCCTCTTTCCAACTGCATAAAGGCAATGTGGTGTGGAGTCTAGAGCAAATAGCTGAAGTTAAGGGATCTTATAAGAACAAGGACAACTGGTTTATATTTCCTTGGGGGCCAAACTAAAAGAAAATGGCTTAAGAAGAAGAAAGACAGAATTTTATTGGGAATAAGAAAAAAACCCATGTTGACTATTAAGGTGATTAATGTAACCAAGTACAAAGAGAGGTTGTGAAATTTTCATCCCTAGAAAAATTAAAAAATAGAATCAACAGCTATATGTCTTACATGGTTTAATGATTTACTTTTCTGAAGGTAAAAAACTGGAAAATGTGAATTATTCAGGCTCTCACCAGATAATTGTTTTATTTATAAATGTTGCAATGTATATAATAAAACATAGCACCTTACTTGGATCATACTTCTGATTCTGTGTATACTCTACTACCATAAAAAGAAGAAACATAATGAGCAAGGCAAAATATCCTACAAATCTTATCTGATGAAACTCGAGAAAAATGGCAACTTCCTTGGCAAAAGTGAACTCCATATTTCAGTACCTACCTAAGAATATGACCATAACCAAATCCAAAGCATCATCAAACATGAAAAATACACAAGACCAACCACCCAATTGCTACAAATAATCACACTTACCTGGTGGTCCTGATAAGCCAGGTTGTCCACTCAGGCCAGGTTGTCCTGGGTCTCCAGGCAAACCCTGGAAACCTTTTGACCCTGGAACTCCAGGAATGCCTTCCAACAATGATAGAAGAGACAAGTTAGGCTAATGTTGTTAATCCATTAAATAATTTTGTAAAGCAAGCTCCTAAAGTTTTAAACTTTGTGAACTAAAGGAACTGATGATATTCTGATATAGTATGAGCCATTAGCACGGTACCCATCCTAAAATTCTCCACTTTTTATTTACCTACTACCAAGAAATTCAGAGCACTCAATGATTCAGCCACTGTCCTCTTTGGGCCTCATTTTCTTACAGCATAAAATGAAAAAAATAGAACCAATAATCTCTAGGTTATCTCTTCAAGTCTGACTATATTTAATAATCCTATAGCAGAAGTCAAGTACAGCTTATTTCCCATATTATACAGAAAGCACAACTGAAAGATAAAAAGTCTTGCAAGGGGTAAGCCAAGAAAGACATCTCATGGTAGCAATAATAAAAAATTAGTTGTCATTGCCTCTTTCATGACTATACACAAAACTCCAATAATATCTTCAACTCTTGTTTTGAGGAAAAATTTCACCAAATCCTACTCATAGGTAAAGAAAACATCTGTGTACACACACACATTCACATGCCTACAAAGTATGGCAACATTAATGTTTAGAACATAAAAAAAGAGTCCCGAACTTTGCTACAAGCTGTTTATAAACATTTCTAGTTTTAAAGTTCCATATTGTGTGAAAAGATATTCTATAAAGATTGAGTTGTGTTTTATATGACTTATGCTTACATGTTTTATGATATATTGTTATGAACATGTTATATTTCTATGAGAAGAAAAAATGATTTTTTAAATTAGTAAAAAAAACTAGGCTATACTTTCCACTTTATTTGCTTCTAATAAAATAACTATAATAACACAGTTGCTCCCCAGACCTACTTTCAGTGACTTCCCTCAGGGCTGGGCTTGGCTATTCACAGTTAAATATTTGTTTATTCTGCTAAGGTAGACTAACAGTGAAGTGTATTCAAAAGTCAAATATGATATGGATATCAAAACACTGCAGTACAACAATGCACCTTTCATCCCTATCTTGTTTCAGGGAGAAAAATAGTGATAAAGACCAACACATTTCCTAAACATTGAAATCTGTTTTCCAAGTGATTGTGGTTATATATCCTTTTCTCTCTATCACATCCTATACTACTTTTTAGAATGCTTGTAGATAATTGTCAATTCTAAAACCTTACAGCTCATAAGAGGTAAACTACAAAACTATATTCAACTATATTCAAAAGTTGATCAGCAAAACAGTATGAATCAAGTGAAAATTAATATTACCAAAATTTGATGCATCTAAGTGCTTTTTGTTGGCAAATTTTGTATCACAAATCACTTTTCATGCTATTTAAAAATTAAACTTCAGATATACCAGAAAAGGTATTTATAAATAAATGCAATTCACTCACCTGGTAAGCCAGGTTCCCCCTTCTCTCCTTTTGAGCCCAGAAGACTTGGATCTATTGGTCCAGGAGGGCCTGGCAGGCCAGGCTCTCCTTTACCACCTTTCTCTCCTGCAGGGCCGGGAAGTCCTGGCTGACCCTGCAAGCCGTCATCACCTAAAATCAACATGTGTGTGGAATACACAAAAGATCGGTTTTACCATCCAGGATTAATGCATATAAAATTATTCATATGTTTCATAGTTGAGTAGACCACTAGCCACTCAACACCTTTATGCAGCCTGGTTATTGTCTATGAATTACTTGCGCACACACATTTTTACACTCAGATAACAATCCCTCTTTCTTCTGGAATTTCTTGACAATGATATAGACTGAAAAAAATTCAAAGCTTAATCCTTATATTTTATTACTCTGAGCTAAGCGTTTGCCATGTTTCATGATGTCCAAAATAAGAATGCTACCAAATTGTAAACACAACTTATTTAAATGCCCTATTACATGGAAACAAAACACGACTAAGTATTGCTCATTTTAAAGCAAACAAAATATTCTGCATTGACATAAAGCAATGTTTAACTTTTTCTCTCATACACATTTGGTAGCAAACTCTGAATATTACCTTTAAGACCAGGAACACCACTCCTGCCAGGAATTCCCAAAGGTCCTTGTGGGCCTGGAGGTCCCATCATACCCATTTCACCTTTGGCACCTTTAGAGAATATTAGTAAGTAACTTTTGTCTTTTTTTTTGACTTTTTAAAGATAAAAAGTAAGCTTTAAGATGTCAGCTGGAAAACTATTGAAGGTTGGAGGGAAGACTGTTAAGTTTTAACTCCTTACATCTGCTGTAACCTTAGTGCCCACTATTGTTGATATTCATAAACAAAGAATCTCGCTTTAGTACCAGTTCCTTAAAGATGGTCCCTAAATGAAGCATACTTCCCAGTATATATACACTAGTATAACTCCCTTCCCCGAAACCAGGGCTGACTCTGTGTCTCACTTTTGACTTAACGACACTGTGTGACTTCCAATGCCAGATCATAAAAAGTCTTGCAGCTTCTATCTGGGGTTCCTGGAACATTCACTTTTGGCTTTTTGGATTCTCTCTATTGGAATTCAGCTGCGATGGAAAGAGAACAACTAACCTGATATAACCACAATGTGAGGAACACAAGCCTTGTGAAGAGGCACCATGAATGATGAGATACCATGTGAGCCAAAGAATACCCAGGTGTCAGAGAAGTGCCACCTTAGAAGTAGCTCTTTCAGCCTCAGCCACTCCAGTTGGAGTTATGTGGGTTAGAGATAAATGGTCCAGTCAAGTTATCCTGACTCAAAGTTGTTTGTCATACAGTAACATATAACTGGAAATTTCACAGAGGAAGAATATAGTGCAAATAGCAAAATGAATTTCCCACAAAGATGTTTACAGTTCTTCCTTAAGGGAGAGTGTCAATCCAGAAAAGTACAACATCATAATAATCTACCAGAGTCACATTACTTTCAATTTCCTGAATCCAAATCAGAGAAAACTTTAAACAAATTACCTGGAAATCCTGAGACACCTGCTTTTCCTGGGAGCCCTGGTGATCCTGGAGGTCCCAAAGGACCAGGTGTTCCAGGGATCCCTGGACTGCCTCTTTCACCAGAGGGTCCTGGAACATCAAACCCAGGAGGTCCCAGATCCCCCTTCTCTCCTGGCAGTCCATGTAAACCTAGTTAATGCAACATCAATATTAATACGCATTAAAGTAGTTCTAAAAGACATACCTGTGTTTTTTCTTTCTTTCTTTTTTCTTTTTTTTAGTAAACAAGTGATAGAATCCTGTGTATAACAAACCTAAGAGTGAGTTCGATATACCTTTGGCAACATGCACATAAAATGACAGAAAAATCAAGCTTAAGGATTTTCAAGCATATTTCTGTAAGACAGTGCTCCTCAAGTTACTTCTGGTGAAAGATCGATCTTACTTTGGAAGGCTGAGGTGAGGGGATTGCCTGAGTTGTCGGGTTCGAGAACAGCCTGGGCAATTTGGCCAGACCTCAGCTCTACAATAAATCAAAAAAATTAGCCGGGTGTGGTAGTGTACACCTGTAGTTCTGGCTACTTGAAGGCTGAGGCAGAAGGATAACCCAGCAGGCCAACGCTGGGGTGGCCGTGAGCGTGCCACTGCATTCCAATCTGGGCGACAGAGTGAGACTCCAACTCAAAATGGAAAAAAATGATCAATCTTCTCAGAATTCCTAGCTCATCATGGACTAATACTTTTTTTCTGAAATACAATAAGAATCACTAAAAATGAAATAACCACAGATACACAAAATAAAAGCCGATTTTTTTGATTATTGATTCAACATATATAATTACACTATCAAATTGCTATGAAAGTTTCTAAATGCTTATTCTAAATCTTTTTCCTAGTCCCACTGCAGACAAATAACAGTCTGTGATTCAATACTGGTCCACTGACCACATTTGCTTGGCTTTGCATTGTTCTAATGTGTTATGAATTATTAGCACACATTTCTATGATTTCTAAAAATGATTAATTACTGAATGAATCATTTACATGGACTCTTTTGATTTTACTTTTGCTTTGTTTTACATGTTGTTTTAATAACTCATTACTGTTAGTTTCTGTTAACTTTATTTCTCAGTGCTCCAACTAGAATTTTACAGAAAAAAAATGACATTGTAAAAGTACTTAATTTGTACAATTCTGTAAGACTGAACCAATCCCAAAAAAGGAGGTTAAAAATGGATGTTTGTGGAAAAATAATTACACTACAAATATTGTACAATTTCCCACTCCAACGTCTATCAGGTATGCAACTTATGTGAGACACTTAACCTTGTTGGTCTTCATCTGCTAAATAGGGAAACTGGTATAACTGATAAGAAGCTGGATGCTGAGCCAGATCATAATTTCAAGTGTCCCTTCAGCAACAAGAGCTAATTTTGTTGTTTATGATTCACTGGCCATTCTTTTGATAGAGAGTAAAATGCTTGGATTTGAAGATATTTGATGTCATATTTTAGCATGCCCTTAAACTGATAAAGTTCACTTTGATGTCTAGAGAATTCCACACAGTTGGCAAAGTGATCATGGCTCCAATGGTGCCATTTCATAGTAAAATACTATAAAAAGAAGAGAGATTTTATATTATTATATTTGTGAAATACGATATGATGATTAAAAATGAACACTATTGTAGCTCTTTATGGATCACTACTTACTGTCAGAAGTTTAATAGATGTGTTTTCAATATAAATAATTAGTTTTTTGAAATATGTTCTAAGAGAGCATTTTATAAAATAATGAAAAGAAATCAAAGATTTAAATCTGAAGAAATCTTGTTTGTTTGCCATATTTAAAGCTTTACTTTGAGAAATGGCTTTTGACAAGAACCACAGTATTTGGTAGACCCTGAAGTTCAAGAGGCAGGGAATTACAGTTCAGCAGCAAGTTGCACCACATAAGCAGAAATAATTTGCAAAAACTTTAACTAGGTTAGAAAAAAAAAACTAAGCCAGGCTCAGTGGCTCAGCCTGTAATCCCGCGCCTTTGGGAGGTTGAGATGAGTGGATTACCTGAGCCCGCAGGTTCGAGACCCGCCTGGGCAGGCGAGACCTCATCTCTACAATAAATAAAAAAAATTAGCCGGGTGTGATAGCGCGCGCCTGTAGTTCCTGCTACTTGGAAGGCTGAGGCGGAAGGATAGCCAGAGCCCAGCAGGTTGAGGCTGCGGTGGCCGGGAGCGGCCGCTGTACTCCAGTCTGGGTGACAGAGTGACAGAGTGAGACTCCAATTCAAAAAAAAGAAAAGAAAAGAAAACTAAGCATGTAAAGATTAGAACAAAAAACTTTACAAACAGAAGTTATTAGACATTGATTCAATATTATCACATATTAGGAATGAGTAAATAAACCTATTTTAGGCATTTGCTCAGATGTTCATATAGCATATTTTATAAATAAAATGTATTTACTAAAAAGGATACAATAAAATATTTACATGTACAGAAAGTAAAACTTTTTGATGAAGGTCAACTTTACATTCTTTTTTATTTCTGACCTTTATAATGCTTTAAGTGATTATTTTGCAATTTAAGCTCCTAAAGGTTAACTACAATTTAAAAATTAATTTTATTTTATACTATAACAGGTTAGGTACATAGAATTCAATAATAATAGTGGATGGCTATGAATAAACAACTTACATGTACTAGGCAAGGATTTCTTGCTTGCTTGCTATTATTAGTAGTAGTAACAGACATTATGCTGTACTTTTCACAGCATAAATCTATTCCATGAATACTGTCAGAAATAGGCATCCTGGGTAAGATCCAGGATGGATAAAGTCAATATAAATTTTAAAGTGCTACTGAATCTCCTTATACAACAACAGGTATTACACGGATATGTCTATAGAGGTTATACAGTGGTGTATAGATACTCTAAATTTATTGTCAGCCAAATTGAACCAATTACTGGAAAAGAAAGGAAAATTTCAAAAACAATGTATTATCTGTGAGAACTTTTCATACACACTCTGCCTAAGGGTTTCATAGCCCCACAAAAGTTAGAAAACTATAATGTATTCTCTTTAATTTGTGAAAATGACATAAGTAATTTATTAATAATTCCCGAGGTTTTGTTTTTATTATTATTTGTTTTGATTCACATTAGTGGTGACAAACATTTATTCTGTTTAGCTACGTCAGCCACACAATTTATCCTGAAATTGGGCAGGCATTACAACACATTTGGCTCAGATTAGGGTATTATCTGTGGGCATGGAATAGAGTGTATTTAACTGATCTTTAAAAATATTCAATAAGCCGGGCTTGGTGGCTCAGTCAGTAATCCCAGCACTTTGGGAGGCTGAGGTGAGTGGATTGCCTGAGCCCGCGGGTTCGAGACCTGCCT